GACGATATGGCATCTAGATAGAAGTTGTGACAATTAGAAATATTTCTACTGTCCGTAATACAGTATATTATTACATAATGTTACGTTCTACATGTCAATGTAATCTGAGCCATTCCAGAGTTGAGGTTTATTATCTTAATCTAACTACCAAGACTGTAATACCAGCCATGTTTACACAGCATTATTTAATTCCTGGTGCAACCCATAAACCTATAATATACCTATAGCTAGTGTAGACCCGAGCTAGAGTACAATAAAATCTCGCAAAATCTGTTTAAACTTGCTAGTGACTGATGCTAAACTGTCATTGTTAAAATTGATTATGAAGTGTAGCGGGATTGGACCTGCCTGTGCCATTCACCAGCAATCAGGAAGCTCAATCAGAAGAGGTCACCTGTCTAGCATTCAGAGAGTGACAATCAAGTTGAAATCCCAGTCTGTCCATACATTTCTTTTCTCCCGTTATAGAGGCCATGGGTAGTAAAAAGTGTTGTATTTGGGGGCAAAGACATAACTATAAAAATAGAGGGAAGAATATAGCAGTGCTAGACTGGGTTGATTGCCTGCAAAACTAATCTCTATTGGTATAGTGTCTGTTGGTAGAGTTGGTCCCAGGTTTGAATCCTGGTCTGGCCGTGCATTTATCCTCTCCTGTGACATAAGATAAGAGTCTGCCCTATCAATTCACATGCCAATGTAAAAATAAAATCTATTTTAGAAATGAAAACAGTTTAATTACTATTAGCTCTTGATACCTTTGAAGAAGTTTTCCCCTCGTATACCCTGGACAGGTGTATACCTCTTGGTGTGAGATCGATATGGTTAAAGTGATTTTTGTACCTCTTTTCATAAGAGGTCTGTGTCTTCTGACTTTGGGAAAATATTGCACACAGAAAGCATGGATAATTTTTCGAAAAAAATATGTGATTTTTGTGAATATCAACTTAGATGGCCCACATTCATCTAAAAGTAGACGCAACCTTGTCTTGACCTAGGGTTGAGATGGGATTCTGCAATTCATAACAATATTGAATTGTATGACGTCACATAAAAAATATATCAATGTCACATCAACAATGCATTGAATCTGTTATGTTAATATTGGTGGTACGGGGATCTTACGGGGATCTTAATTCTTTGTGATAGATGCTTATAAAGTTTCCAAACACAGGGCAAGTCCTGCGTTTGGCAACTTTAATATCCCCCATTGACATAAACACTTAACTGTTGCCCAAATGCAGGATAATTATCCATATGTACTCAGTGGCGGATCCAGAGACCTATCTGGGGAGGGTGTTTCCAAATTTCCAGGGGGGGTTCCATGTGGGGGGAAATTGAGGAAAATGGTGAAAATACATGATTTTTAAAGCAAATTCTCAGGCTGGGGGGAGTTTCCTGAAGCCCAAAAAATCCCTCTGGATCTGCCACTGGTACTGTTATGAACAACCTGCTTAAACCGAAGAGGTACCTGTAGAGATACAATGTAATAATAAGCCAGTCTCGTTTCCTCTGGGCCTGACACACACCAGACATCTATATATGTCAAAATGTCTAAGTCTGGTGTCAGGATCAGAGGTAACTTGGTCTACTAGAGATAGGAAAGGACCTGTTACAGGAACAAAAGATTTTTGCCCACAAAGCAATTTAACATTTACTGGGTTATATTTGTAGCTCCCTAAGACATGACCCATGAGATATTTTTTTTAAATTAAAAAGGTCCCCAGGGCCTGTGCTATGAACTATTTAGTGTCGCCATCCAAAGGTGTACGACAGGGTTCACTTTTTTGTCCAAAAAACTATCAAAACAATATTTTACGCTACCAAATAATATTATATTATTTAAAATAGGATCTGCTGCAAATTATGAACTCAAATATGTAACAAAACATTGCATAATAAAAAAGTTATCAAATCTTAAACTCTGAAAGTGTTGGTATTTTCATACACTTTTTTGCTACATCAATTGTTTTATGGAAGTAAAACACCAATTTCCGGTTCTTGTACACCAAAAATCTTTTAATATTATTTGGTGCATTATGTTGAGATACGATAGTGAAAATTTCAGAAAATTTGAGAACCGGTAAATTTGTCATATAAATGTCAAACTGTAGCAACGTCTATTTCCAAATAAAATCCAACAACCTTATGACCTATAGTCATGTTTGATAATTTAACAATACGTCGTACTAATTTATTATCGCAACTGATCAAATTTTCATCAATAGGGTCTGCTGCTCATGATGAGCCCAACTATAAAGCTAGATGTTGCAAAATAACAAAATTATGCAGTCTCACACACATAAAAGTTTAGTAAGTTATGTACATTTTTAGTTGTTTCGCATCTTTACGGAAGTGATAGACATATTTCCGGTTTTTGTACACCAACATACTTTGGATATTATTTGGCACATTATGCTGACTGACGATAGTAGAAATTTCGAAAAAATCGGTAGCCGGTAAATGTGTCATCTTAAGGATAATATGTTGTATGACCAATGTCAAAATAAATCTTCAATAACTACAGGTCAATGCGACTTTGGCTTGTGGTACATATCAGCTGAAGCTGGCACCTGGCTATATCACAGAACATCAGACAGATGGGGGTGATTATGAGATATGGGTGTACCAACATGCTGATGACCTTCTGCGAGGCCAATTACATTCTCGCCACAGGTCACAGGCAAAATACAATGTCTGGATAGAGTTTGACCTACACGCATCAGAGGATCCTGTCAAGGCATACTATTGTGTGTGTCCTGCAGGAAAGACTCATGTCGCATCAATACTGTATTATCTAGGATACTATGCACATTTAACAGATACTAAAACGCTCCAGCCTAAAGCTCGCAAATTCAGAGACTGCATATTGTGAATGCATTCAAAAAAGAAACATTATTCAATTATAGCCTTTGGCTGAGGTCGATACCTGGATTTATCAACCCCAGAAAAGATAAATTGACCGAGGACGCAGTCCGAGGTCAATATATCTTTTCTCAGGTTGATAAATCCAGGTATTGACCGAAGTTAAAGGCTACAATTGTTTTATTATTTTTCAAAACAGTTATGCAAGAAATCTGAAAAAATAAATAAAAAAAGCTTCGGAAGTGGGACGGTGCATTGTTTGGAGACACGTCATAATTCTATTTTTATAAACACCCAGTCCTTCAACAAAAATCACGCGCTCCAAGTCAATATCGGTTTTTATCGGTGGACACGTGATGCACTTCTGGCAAATCACTTGTCGGGAATAATATGAAAAAATAATAAGACCTAAGATTGAACTGAGAAAGCAGAAATTCAGAAAAATGTTTTGAATGACTAATTTTGACTATGTGTTGTCAAATTAAAAAAATAACAACAGTAAATACAACAATCCATGAATTGGAAACTATATATCTCTCCTAAAAAGAAACAATTTTATGGGCTAGCATAGCTTCAACATATTATACTGGTACACCAAATGTTCTGACAAATTGCCTAACTTTTGCTGTATCCCCCCTTTAACCACCTAGTTTAGTTAATCAGTCATACTCTACTATAAACCATATCATCCACCTTGATAGTATATTGGAATGATTTTGGGTTAATTATGAAATAATTGCATTGATCTGTAGTAACTGAAGATTTATTATGACATTGGTCATGCAACATATTATCCTTAAGATGACACATTTACCGGCTACCGATTTTTTCGAAATTTCTACTATCGTCAGTCAGCATAATGTGCCAAATAATATCCAAAGTATGTTGGTGTACAAAAACCGGAAATATGTCTATCACTTCCGTAAAGATGCGAAACAACTGAAAATGTACATAACTTACTAAACTTTTATGTGTGTGAGACTGCATAATTTTGTTATTTTGCAACATCTAGCTTTATAGTTGGGCTCATCATGAGCAGCAGACCCTATTGATGAAAATTTGATCAGTTGCGATAATAAATTGGTGCGACGTATTGTTAAATTATCAAACATGACTATAGGTCATAAGGTTGTTGGATTTTATTTGGAAATAGACGTTGCTACAATTTGACATTTATATGACAAATTTACCGGTTCTCAAATTTTCAGAAATTTTCACTATCGTATCTCAACAAAATGCACCAAATAATATTAAAAGATTTTTGGTGTACAAGAACCGGAAATTGGTGTTTTACTTCCGTAAAACAATTGATGTAGCAAAAAAGTGTATGAAAATACCAACACTTTTAGAGTTTAAGATTTGATAACTTTTTTATTATGCAATGTTTTGTTACATATTTGAGTTCAAAATTTGCAGCAGATCCTATTTTAAATAATATAATATTATTTGGTAGCGTAAAACATTGTTTTGATAGTTTTTTGGACAAAAAAGTGAACCCTGTCGTACACCTTTGAACGGCGGCACTAAATAGTTCATAGCACAGGCCCTGGGGACCTTTTTAATTTTTAAAAAATATCTCATGGGTCGTGTCTTAGGGAGCTACAAATATAACCCAGTAATGGTTACATTGCTTTGTGGGCAAAATTCTTTTGTTCCTGTAACAGGTCCTTTGAAAATTCAGGAAAACAAACTTTAACTGCCAGAATCCAAGATGGCCACCTGGCAGCCATCTTATCCATGCGATCAACATCAGTCTAAAAATAGTTTTATATAGAAAGATCTACACTTAGGGGATGCTAGTCGTAATTGCTGTATAAGTAAATTACAGTCTTTTTCGTAGAAAGAATAATTACAAGTCAATTGGATCTCGAAAATACTGATGCTAGCATGGTAGGTTGCGTTATCCACTGACACTGTGTCAGTATGTGTATGTATCTACGGGCGCGCAGCTAAGCAAACCAGTGGTGAAAAAAGCATCCGGAGTGTTACGGAATATGGTTTTTTTTCTATTAACAAAATATCCAATTACTTACCAGAATTTTTTGAAACTGGCAATGCAAAATTAACGAAAACCATTACAGTGACAAGTTGACAACATGCCACCTGCTCGGTACAACCGGTAACTGTGTTAGGCTTACCTTTCATACGCCAGACGAATTCCGATCAGAAGAACTCCTATAAGAAGGCTTGGAAGAAGAATATGTCTCTCTAAAGGGTAATACACACCGGGAGGAGGATTTTCGAAATCATCCCATGTAGCATTGCTGAGCAGCCAAAACTTTTCGTCCCAGAACCAATCTCTCAAAGCTTGAAAATTCGCCATAATCGGCGTAAGTGCTATCGGCGAGGGTAACACTACAGTATGGCATCCGGAGAAAGTCGGGGGAAGTTTAGGTCCTACTACAAATATGAACGTTAACCGGAACTGACCGGAATATAGTTGAATTTTAGTACCATATCCTCCGCCAATATTGACGATTACGGGTTATTGTGGTTGGTCTTGTAGTGCGTTGTTATGTGTACAGTGTTTTTGGTCAGAATTTGCTATAGGGTTAGTTAGTTGTGTTGTTGATTCTATATTTGTTCGATTATGTTATAGGCCTGCATACTGTATGTGTCCTGAATTCTGCTGTTGTTTTTGATTGGATGATTGTTTGGGGTAGGAGCTCGAGGTTCCACGTACTGTATTTATTAGTGCGTGGAAAGAAAGAGTGTCTGTGTGTGTCTTTGGATGTGTAGAAATGTCTGTAAATAAGGTCGTGTCTGTGACGAGTTCTGGTGCCTGCGGGGATGAGATTGTAATAATGCGTGTTCTTGTTCTGCGTGTGTGTAGGGTTGGTCATTCTAAATATTAATTAAAATGCTTAGTAAATTATTATACCAGTTACGATAATCTTGTATATCAATATTTGAAGTAGTTGTTTTAAGTCATTCCACCCCTGAAATTTCATAATGAACTATTCCAACCTTTGCATTGGAAGAGTTCAGTTGTGTCTTCAGGAGTGAATAAGTTAATTGCTCAATCGATCGATTCAATTACATAATACGGCCCATAGGTTCTAGATTAAGCCAAGATAATATAAACACAAGAAAACTTTAAACAGCCATTAAGTGTCTGAACTGTATACACTGAGGCAATTGCAGTGTAACAGGAGGCTTAAATGCACGGCCAGAACGGGATTCGAACCTGCGGGACCCTCCAAACTTACCGTTAGACGGGCAATCCACAGGAACCTGAGCATCTGTTACAGCTATATTTGGAACTAAGGTCTTCATCTAGAGTAATTACACGTTAAAGAGGCTTAAGACAACTCTCAGCAAAAATGCCACCCCAATGCTGATCTGAACACTTTAGTTTAGTTCCAAATATAGCTGTAGTAAATTCTCAAGACATTGCTGGACAGTCTACCAATTCTGCCATATTGCCACCAGCGAATGACCTGGTCCAGTTCCGCTAAGTCAGCAACCAAGAACAGGAAAGGACCCAAAACAGAACACGTGTGGGGAAACAAGCCAGGAAATTGAAATGCAGTTCAAAGAGGTATTTTGATGTCGGCAATTTTCACAACACGATGCTTAATTTTATGCCATGCAATTGTTCTATACATCGGCTTTATTGGCTGGTGGTTTTGACCATATGGACAGTTTCAGGTTAGAAACAATTTTGAAAACATAATCTCAATTCACCTGCCGTGCGACGCTATCTATTTGGATATCATTTTCAGATATTTGATCCGAACCTCATTTGTGATATAAATCTTTGAACTATGTGTAATTTTCTACTTATATAGATAGTTCAAGTTCAAGTTCAATTTGTTACATTTATGTTCATTAATACATATAAAATACTTGTACAAAATATAAATCAATTCCATTGGTACATATAAAATACTTGCAGTTGGCTGTTTCCTAGAACTTAAAATAGTTTGTTTAACATAAAAAAACACCCACTTGTAATAGGGATCAATATCGACATTAGATTATTGTGAGACTACCCTTCTTATTATTATTAACATGTAGGTTGCAGTGACTCAAAGTGCGCTACCTTAGGGTTGGGGAGAGCCCTACCAGCGAAGACAGGTCGCTCTGCGCCACTGCAATCATACGATGTAACTTTAAAAAAAATAATAAAAAAAATTAAAAAAAATTATCCGTTTAAAAGGAATAACAGGTTAAAAGTAATTGAGAAATCGATTGGCTCCAAGCGGTTGGGGAGAGCTCTACCGGCGAGGGCTTCTCGAGGTCCCTTCTTAAGGTTACATTTAATAGTTTAAAACACGGTTAAAAGGGCAAAATTTTAGTATTGATCAATAATTAACAAATTAAATAATATTTCAAGGTCTATGACCTATGGTTATAACAGGTTAAAAGGAAATTGAGAAAACGATTAGCTTCAAGCGGTTGGGCCAGTCCCTACCAGCGAGGGCTTTTCGAAGTCCCATCTCAAAGGTACATTTACAACTTTAAAACACGATAGAGAAAAATAAACTTTAAACATTGATCAATGGCTTTAATATATTTAAGAATATTTCAAAGTTAAAGGGAGCTTACCCACTTATAAACCAAACCCCTGCATTGATCCCTGGTAAAAAAAAATGTATTTTTAAATAAAACATGGAATTTAATGTGATACTCAGCCGGATACGGCTTACGAGACACTAATTAATTATTTGCATTGTAGTAAAATACTAGACGCACAAAGAACTGCGTCGTCTGTACATGTTATACAAATTATTTGCTAGTGGTAGTTCGTCCGACACATTAGCCAACATACCAAAGTGCCTCTTCCACGGTCCAGTTTGACCCGAATAGTATGTGTCGAGTGTAAACACGTGTCGTAACACCTGGATTCTATAAATAACTATATGTTCTGGTTGCTGCGTGAGAGATTTTCTAAAACAAATATACGTGATCTAATACAATCTAATTAAAATTATATCTTCACATCGCTCCCGTGTACTGATATGTCGCGTTGAAGATCAATGTTTTATTACTTGTTTATTTAGATAAAAACTAATATACGTTCTGAGTGAAAAAATCTATCACATAAATCTATCACATAAACGTAAAAATACGGATATTTTCTTAAGATCTTTTTTGTCATCAACCCGGTTCTGTTTTTTTTTTTTCTGCCGGGAGATATCTTCAAAAAAGAGATCATTTAAAATTTCATCAGCTTTTGATTTTAATTTGTTGAGAATATGAACGAAATCATTGAAATGTTTGAAAGTCTGGATATATAATCATTACATTATTTATGCATCACCACTCATAAAAGAAGCAATGGAAAATGCATTTATGACGAAATTAACAATAATTTTCCAGGCAACCAACCCAAGTGCAACGCCCTTTTTCAGCAACGTATTACTTTTTCACAACGCGTGCCGATTTATAACTAGTTACAGACAGAAACTGTAATTTTATTTGGCATCATTACCTGTCAAACCTCGGTGATAGTTACAAAATTTGAAATTTAATCCGGTGTTTCAGGATGGAACAGTAATTGAGACTACAAATCCATATCAAGACAATTTCAGTTACATCAAAGTATTACGATGTTTTCTTTATTTATTTTCGTTTTCTTAACTAACATCTCTATACATTTACTTAGACTAATCGTCAAATATGTAATATGCACTTTTTTTTCTATATTAATTACCAAACAGTTTCCCCCAGCTTATCTCAATCATTCTTTTTGTGCCCTGACGGAAGCACGCAGAGGGTTTAATTCTTAATATGGGAAGAAGTTGGAGTATCCGGAGAAAACTCGCGTGGTCGGGCAGGTGACCGGGATTAAATCCTGCCATCTTAGTGAAGACGAGCGCACTATCCACTGCGCCACCGACCCATCATATACGTCACGCAAAAGAACAAATATCTAATTTAGCTTTGACTGGAAGAAAATGGCGGGCAGGTGACCGGGATTAAATCCGGCCATCTTAATGAAGACGAGCGCGCTATCCACTGCGCCACCGACCCATCATATACGTTACGCAAAAGAACAAATATCTACTTTAGCTTTGACTGGAAGAAAATGGCGGGCAGGTGACCGGGATTAAATCCGGCCATCTTAATGAAGACGAGCGCGCTATCCACTGCGCCACCTACCCATCAAATACGTTACACACCAGAACAAATATCTAGTTTAGATTTGACTGGAAGAAAATGGCGTCATTGATGCAAAAATTATATTGTGAATACATTTTTACCAATCATCAATGATATAAAAAAAAATCTACATACGGGAGACGGGGCAAGTTCGGCCATCCCTGATATTTTTTGTTTTTGAGCTAATATTTACAAGTTTAAGGATCTTAGCAGTTTAGTTGGCTGGGCATTCAACGACGAAAAAATTGGCGAGGAAAACTCTAATGTAAAATGACTTAACAGGAGGAAATAACTTTTGAGAGGGTAGAAAGAAAATCATGATCTCGCTTCTAGTTATGCGAACTTTTTACAGTCAAACGTGTAAGAACGTGACACTGCCAGCTTCAAATGATAATACATAAAAGCCAAGCCAATCACTCACTACCATATTGCTGTACGATAAGAATTTATTGAAATATCAATTTGGGCCAGGACAGTTTCGGCCAATGATACCGTGGCAAGTTCGGCCCCATGTAACACATACAAATTCGTAAAATTGGCGGTAAAATCTGACGTTACATGCTTTATTACGTCATAATTAAGCTGATCCCAATGGGGGCCGAATTTACGGCCATCCGATCTTCCGACAGGATAATTAAATAATGTTAAAAAACGGACGTGCTGCCATACTTAGTAGAACGGACTTGAATAAATAAAAAAAAAGTGTCGAACTTCCCCCGGTCTCCCTATTGTTATGTCGGTCTTAATCTCATAAGAGCCTGTGCTTTGTTATTCCTCGACTAGCCGACTTTAGATAAAGTTTATCTTATCTCATTCTGAAAGTTGTATTCTTAATCAGTAAATATCAGAGATCAACAAAAGCTACGCTCTTTTAAGGCTTTGCCTTTTCATATTTCGCAATAAACATTATAGGCGATCATGATGGGGATCGGACAATCTTGTAACAAGGCAAAATATCGTGTGGGTTATATAAAAAAAATATGTGTGAATACTAATCTAGTCCAAAATCTAAAATTACTTTTTGCGCAAATGTTAAATACATGTTTTATCAGCCTCGATTACATTTATCAAATTTTGTGCGAAGTACCTGTCCAGTTTGATTGGTATCTGCTTACATGTATTACTGTTCTTCTTGTCTTTTCATTTCTTTCCATACCTTATTGTCACTGGAGTGTCTGTATATATATTTGGATACAATATTTGTGCTATTTATTCCATTTTCGAGGAAGCTGCAGGAACCGTACCAGCTCAAGGTTTAGCTGCGGGAACCGTAGCTTCTAGGCCCGATTTTTTTTATACTGTTATTGGACCATGTACTCAAGGACCTAACGATTTTATTTCTTTTTGAAAATGTATACATCTTATTTTGAAATTTTGTATTATTGGACCGACTATCTAAAATTTATAAACTAAATAAAAACGATCGGAACTTGAGCTTCGGTTACCGCAGCTATTTTCGAGGCTGTCTGTTTTGTCTGTATAGTACTTATAGGTCCTGCAAATCATGTGTATCTCATGACGCAACATTTTGTTGTCTATGAGTGTCGGAGTAATCTCCCCTGCACTGCATGACCTATGGTCGTTCTGATCAGTTTTATTTCTTTTATCTACAAATTTACTAATTAATGGCAAAGAAGTAGCGAAATGAGCGATGTTAGTCCAATATATGGTGCGTTGTGGTTCAGGCCAATTTAGAGAACTGGTGAGTTAAGGAAATGCTTAAAAAAAACCACATAAAACATATAAAAGACGATTTCATAACCATATATTGTACAAAATTTCACTGAAAGGTTGAGAAAAAAAATGAACGATTCGAAAAAGACTAAAACTAAGCAGCTTGACATTCATATTTGGTATGGCAATAAGAAGTCTCGTGGCCACATATACTGGTAGTCCGAATTATTCTGACGTTTTATCGACTTTTTTAATATCGGTCTGTCGTCGATTAACCGACGACAGACCGAAATAAAAAAAGTCGATAAAACGTCAGAATAATTCGGACTAATATACTGGTAATCATCTTATGTCACGGCAGGCATGCCAACAACTGCACAACTTCTTAGTGTACCGGATGAGTGGATCATAGATTGTATTTACTTGGACTTTCAACAAGTCATTGACATTGTTCAACATATAGATTATTGCTTGTAGTAATTGTCATCTTACAAGTTAAGTGAACAGATTATTAATTGGACAACAAGCTTCGTTTCAAACACATGTACTAGCCTCATCTGTCAATACACCTATATATAGGTTATATTACAGGTGTAATGACAGACGGGGCTTGTACCCGTGGTTTCAAAAAAGAACAAATTGTATCTATGAAAGGAGAGCAATCTTTGGACTGCAATAGCATTGGGAATACCTCAAGATTCCGTCCTTGATCTTATTCTGTTCCTATATGTTACATAAATGTGCTGATGATACTAAAATGTACAGTGTGTAAACGTGGGTTTCAGGATACTGGATAAACGCTCTCCAAACGGATATACATGTAAAAAGACTCTCCGAATGGACCGAAAAAGGCTTTTGAGAATCCATCCTGGAAGTGTAAATACATGCACATCGGGGTCGTGCGTTGAGTGATTTGAGCAAACATATTACGTAATACTAATCCCTTTCTAATTATATATGAAAAAATGAACATATTTATTGCAAAATTGCTGATGCCACGCTTGTACATACTTCAAAGTATTTAATGGACAATTCCATACTGCTTACAAATCGAATCTAAATGATTTCACACTCATAATTTATGACGTTTAAAAGGTCAAAAAAATAAACAAATATCTATCTTCTTTTGTTATCACAATTCTATGAAAACGGGAAATCAACAATTAAATCCCTTAAAAAGAAATTGAAATCTTTACTTGCACTTTGGGCCGGCTAGGCCACAGGACGAATCCTTTGGATACCCCAAGTCAAGTTCTTTATTACTTTGAGTCTTTCGACTCATCAGTAACAAAGAAATAAAAGTCTCACACTTACAAGGCATAATACAAAACAGCATTAGACAACCTTACACAACATTACACACACTCACAACACAGCCACAAAGAGAAACAATATCACGTGTTTGGAGTGTGCAACTTTAGCTATTTATCATTATGATAATTTGGTTCCCTTCCCTATAAGTTCACTATTTCCTTCGTGCTTTTCATACTCAGCAGTTCTGTCATTTTAAACAAGATTTGCTTTACAATGTTATAAATTTTCAAAAACAAAAATGCTCGCAAATATGAACAACATGCATGGGCATTTAAGAACTAAATGAAACTCATCTTCAACATCATCTAATTAATCATACCGTTCAACCTGATTGTTCTCCTTTCATCTGTGTTACTTGACTAAGGGGAGGTATATCCTGTTGTATTTAGCATGCATTTTGTCTGTTAACTTTTAGTGGACAATAAGTGCTTAAAACCCCAGCTCTCTACCATTTGCCTGGGGCCAAGGACTTCCTATAGCTGACTGTTTTTTAGTTTAACAAGACCCCATCATTTTCACATTTTCACATATTTTGCCATAGTACAAAAATGCCTCTTATGTTTTACCAGCCATACATATGGCCTGTTATAGTTTGTTGGAGCCAACACTATGAGCGACCTTTTGTTTTGAAGTAGAGCATGAACTGGCCGCATTGTTAATACATGACTTGTCCTTTGGTTTACTGAACAATTTAAGTTTTGTTTACAAGTCCGTGAGTCAGAGGTTTTTGGCTTGATTTACGGTTATTAAACTCTTCCGTAAGTTTAACTTTAATACACCAACTCAGACATAGCTTGACAAAGGGGCCAGTCGGTCTTGAAATGTTGCGACCCGTTTAATAACTGCATTGTTTGTGTATCAAATAAAACTCTGATATTACATATTTCAAAACTGATGAATCGTATTGAAATTTTCGGTTAATAAACTAAACTTGGTTTTGGTTAATCTTTGGAACTCCTTCCCAGACTCAATAAAAGGTTACCCCCACATATAGATTAAAAAATACCTCTATGAACCATCCCACAAAGTCAAACCTTTCCACTTTATCGGTAGTAGGTTGGGTCAGATTCATCAAGCTAGACTAAGAATGGAGTGCAGTTCCCTAGAATTGTACTTGTATCGTAGAAACCTTCTTGATAGTCCTTTGTGTTCATGTATGGAAAATAACGAGACAAATGAACATTATTTGTTAAACTGCCGCCCTTTTTCACAACTCCGTGTATGTGCATGTCTTCACTGGTTGAAATCGTCCAATTTCAAGTAAATTACTGCTGTTTGGCGATGATGAGTTGTCAGATGAAGAAAATGCATGAATTTTTTACTTGTACTCAAAATTTCATTTTCAGCTCTCGAAGATTTCAATGAGTTTTTCTTCTATTTCAATATATACCTGTCGTTTACACTGACATTCTTCATGTCCGTAACTGTTTACAATCAATTAACACAGGGTTACTCTGAGCAATTCTCTCTCCCCTCTTTCCTATCCTATCCTCCCCTATTTTCCGTTTTTACTCATATACTCAACGCATTGCTGCATATTTCGTTTTCAAATATTATAGTCATAAAACATGTGGTCCTCAAATCTCATATACATGTATGTATTTCTCCCACTGGAGATAGATCTACATAAGTTGTAAAACTTGTTTCCAAATCCAATTTCAACAATTGTGTATTGCTTTACATCATACTGAAAATGAAAAAAAAAATGAAATAAAGTTTATTTATAAATTTGGTTTGACGACAAATATGAAACAATCTTATCAATTTAAAGTAACCAACCTGGAAATTGGAAGACCCAGGGGAAGCCCATGTGGTTCTGAGCCAAGTCCAACCCTGATTCGTTCTTGTTATCAGACAGTCCAACTAATCATTTCCAGTTCACAAAAGATAATTAACCATAATAAAATCCCAATTAGCTTTATCAAGTCAAAGCATATGAGATATCGATATCAGTCTGTGGTCAAATGTGTATTTTTGTTCCCTTTAAAACTTTGAAACACCTGTTGTTGAGGACAGATGGAGACAGTGCTCACTACTTGAAGGAGATACTTTAATTAGATTATTAGAACCTTTCATGAAACATACACGTAAGTATGTGCCTAGATGCCAGTTTTGCAGCTTCCTCACTCATTTCGCCCACAGGCACTGGTACTAGCCTCGTCTGTCAATACACCCATTGACAAACGAAGCTAGATCCCGTGTCCACAAGCACTGGTCCTGGCCTCGTCTGTCAATACCCCCATTGACAAACGAAGCTAGCTCCCGTGTCCACAAGCACCGGTACTTGCCTCGCCTGTCAATACACCCATTGACAAACGAAGCTAGAGCCCGTGTCCACAAGCACTGGTCCTAGCCTCCTCTGTCAATTCACCCATTGACAAACGAAGCTAGATCCCGTGTCCACAAGCACTGGTACTGGCCTCGTCTGTCAATACACCCATTGACAAACGAAGCTAGATCCCGGGTCCACAAGCTTCAATAACAATCGGGCGAGTCATTGTTGAAGTATTATCTATCTCCTAGCTCTTCGTGTAGTGATCATCCCAAGACCGGCTCCCCGGGAGAGCTCTTGATCGGATCACAGTACGATAATGGAAACCCCCTCTTTAGAGGGGTTCATTCCATTAGCTTACCGTCCGAACATCTGGAGCTGGACTACATGCAAGTGATCAAAGTCCTTTTTGTCCTCAACAAATGTTTCAAATTATTAAAAGGGAACAACTATAACGAAATATATTTCATTAAGTTGACAAAGCTTACGGCAAAGGTATCGTAAGCCAAAGACGTACATGTATAAAGTATAATATATCTCTGCGTAAGCTTTTTAAACATAAAAAACAACAACATATATTATTATTTTTTTATTTGCATTTCAGAATAACATTTTACATATATGTACATTTAGTCTATAGTACACACAATACCTATATACAAGTTATGGCAAAAATTGATTTTAATTAATATATTAAATTATAAGAGAGAAAAAAGGAGGGTGAGGGATATTTTTTCTCAACAAATAATAGTGTATTTACTCGTGTTCACAATATATAACGTAACGTGATAAAGTGTGTATTTTTTTGAGATCGTGTTTGCTGATTGATCTTTCCTCTTCCCGCGACACATATATACGGCTCTAGCTCTGCGCTAACCGTAAACCAGAGACATACATTATTATGAACGTATACGTCTGTGCTTAAACTCAGCGATAAAGAAGTAAAAAAGTATCGTTTGCACAAAATTAAGTTAGACAACGTTATCATGAACATAAAACTAGATAATCTAAAGTGTGGTATGATAGAGCGACAACAATTTTGAAGAGATGGTTTTGTGCGTCTCTCAAGCACTGATAGTGGGTGATTACTGTTTCGCGCGCGATATTGTATTTTCAAGCGCCTAACTGACCTAGATCATTGTAGAGTCGATAACAGTCATGGCGACGGTACAGGCCTTCAGAGATTGGTTCTGGAACGAAAAGGTGTGGCTACCCGGCAATTTGACATGGAAGGAATTCGAAAACCCACCTCCCGGTGAATATTATCCTTTAGAAAAGCACATTCTCCTTCCAAGCTTTCTTTTGGGTATTATTCTGCTCGGAGTTCGTTTTGTTTACGAAAGGTAGGCACACGTGTTTCTGGATGACACTTATTACGCGTACTCCTAAAGAGGCCGTAGGCCGCCCTTTTTTCTATGTTGTCTGCGACGCGGCGCCTGTCAAAAGTATCTCGCCGTGAAAACCTCTGACATTGTTGGAGTAGATGACACTCACAATGCACTGGTACTATATATATATATATAAAGTAAAAGACAAGAGTTTCTTCGACTTCCCTAGCGCTTTCTCCTCTTTAGAGGTTCATCAGAGGGGAACTGTTTATTCATGTTGACAGGACAACCACACAACACAGAAAGTGATCACTTTCTATGTTGTGTTGTTGTCCTATCGACATGAATAAACATGAAAAACGTTCCGTTGATGAACCTCTAAAGGGGAGAAAGCACTCAGGAAGTCGAGGAAACTCTTGTCTTAAATACTAAATATATATCCTCGGGTTATCCGCGATTTCGTACTCATATCGGCAGAAAACTGTTGAAATTACGGATCATTGTCATAAACATGTATACAATCTACTAAAGGAAACAAAAACCTAGCAACATAAAACTGTTATTTTAAAAAAAATCAGAACAAAAATTTTTTAACAAATTTCTCCCGTCGGAAGTAGCCGTCATGTTTCCGTGTGTCTATTTTGATTTAGTGTTCAAAGAAAGATAACTCGAATACACTAAAAAGAAATTCTCTACAGTGACCTACAAGAACAAAAGCTATAAAAACATATCTTTGATCGTCAAATTAATTATCAAAACAACTTTTTTTAAATTTCACATTTTTAAAAGATTTTTCAAAATGTCAAATTGGACGAATTCATGTAAATTTTCAAAATTTATTATATTTATTTTATTTAGTTATAATATATTTATCTGTTATTTTTTTTTTGCTGCAGTTTTATATCGGTTTTGGTTGATGGTAAGTTATATCTCATTTTGTTCTGTTTAAAATTGGTGAAAATTGGAAGTTCGTTGCATTACAAGGTTTACGTTTCATTGAAAACACTGTTTATCAATATAAGAATGTCCCCTTGGCTCTTCGGAAGTGGAAAAAAAATCGGCGAGGAGATGTTGCCTCATTTGCATACGACATTTTCATACGTTTGTCAGACTACATAAAAGACTGGTTCATGAATGAAATATATCACCGTTTTTTCAGGTATGGGCTCATTTTGTGCATTAAGCAAAACTGCATATTTATGCGTGTTTTTTTAATCGGTGATAATTTCTTATGTTATCCGGACAAACTTCCGGTAATTTTTGTGTCAGTTTACAGACGATGGCCAAATGTCTAAAATATCCTTTTGTTGTTGTGTCCAGGAGGTCACGTAGTTACGAGATATAGCTTGATAAAATGGCTGCGCGGAAATACATAACGCGCGGAAACTGGTGACTAGACAATATATATAGTACCAGTGCAGTGTGAGTGTCTTCTTAACTCCAACAGTGAGTGTTAGAAGTTTACATGGCGAGATACTTTTGACAGGGGCCAGAAAAAAAGCAAACAAGCGGCCTCTTATATGTTATAGGAGTAGAAAACCGTTGAGAATAACTTTATCTTGAAACCAATTTTTAACAGATTTGTGGGAATCATAAAATTTCACCTCCTGAAGATTGTGTTTTCAAGAAGTCCCCCCAAAAATGTACTCGGCTTATTTTTGGTTTAAATAAATTTTTATTTTTTATTTTTTTTATTAAATTTAAACTGAATTTTTTTATATTTCATATTTTCCAGTTGCTATAAATAACTTAAGGTAATAGGATTGTGTCGCCATTTCTCAGTAGAATTTATTCAAATTTTGTAGATATATTGCTTTGAAGTAAAGAAAATTTTCTGCCACAAAAAAAATATAGGTTGTCAGAATGTTAAGGATTTTAAAAGGAAATTTATGTAAAAAGGAGTGAATTTTGAAAAAAACAACGAAACAGAATTATTTGCAAAATAATGTCAATAAAAATGATACTAACATAGATTAGTATTGCATTAATGTATATCAATTTCATAAATGCTGAAATTGTGTACAATTAATTATCTATAAACGATTAAAAATTGACATTTTATAGTAAAAGCATATATACACATAGTAATTGCATGCAAGAGTTATCGTTCTTGAAAAACTTCACGGAATAGGTAGCCGGTTTCTGAAGTACAGAAAAATGGACACATGTGAATCATTGATTAAAAAACAACTAAATTAATGCCTGGATTGCTTTGCAATACTTTAATATTGAAAGAACACATTGTTCTGTCAATAATAAGCATACAATATTCATCACTTTAATATTAAACATTAGATTATGCGGAAATTGTGATACTGTCTCCCTACGGTGGATTTTCAACTAGGGATGTACTTCCTATTTCCGTTTTGCAATACACTCCTATGACCTTAAATAAGACTTATCTCCCCTAACACAAAAAAAAATGTCATGAAAACTTCAAATTGCAAGATGGCATCTTTTTGAGGGTTATAGGATCCTAATCTTTGTGAATTATATCAGATTATACTCTACTTTAACTTCAAGTTCAATCAAAGTTCAACTTCAACCAGACCCAGTCCATTCAGGGGTGATACAGAAATTTATTCATATATATGCAATCATTATTATTCAATCTCAAAAAAACAGTTTTCTTATACCAATTAAATGGTAGCCAGTTGGGAGTAGTTATCGTTCCTGTTGTAACATGTTGAGTTATTTGAAAATAGTTTTGCAAAACGGAACACATGTCCGTACATGTAGAATTCCGAACACCTCTGGGTGAAACTAGTCTATACATGTTTACTTTCCGAAAAAGTCTTCCTTTCTTGTTTTGAAACATGTTACAACCTGATACATTGTTATTACCGGAGAAAGCCAGCTCGTAAACAATCATTTACACCTGTATTGGTCAGTCAAGCAAAGTACGTCCACTTGGGAAAATATTCGCACCTCCGCCGACTAGCTAAACAATTATTCACACCAGTCAAGTAAAGTTAGTTCACTTGGAAGAACATTTTGAAACATAGTTATATTAAAAGTGTCGGTTTCAGAACATGATTCAACCTGAGTAAACTTGCCTAATTACCTTGCTGGAGCAAGTGCTAACGCATCAGTCCCTTCGGGTCCGTTGGCTAGCAGATTTTATCAAACTTTTATTTTTGGTTTAGAATATAAAAGTTGATGGATTGATGTATTTCGTTTAATCTCTGATTTTTGTTTTATTTCGAAATAGAAAAATATTTAAACTGAAAAGTTATTTCGAAATCATGTCTTTTTTCTTTTGCCATTTTTTTTATTCTAATTTTTGTTCTGTAATTATTTGTTCTATATTTTTTTTTGGCAAAGTTTTATTCAAGATTTTTTTTTTGCAAAATTTTATCTAGGTTGTTTTTTTTTCTTTTTTTTTCAGTTTTTAACTTTTTTGAAATTTTAAAATATTTTCATCATCCCGCCATTTCGGATGGCCGTCATTTTGTTCAGGCCGTCATCTTGGATTGCCGATCATTCAGTTGACACATGATCGCCATCTTGGATGGCCGATCATTTGGGTGACACATGGCCGTTCATGGCCGATCAGCCGATCATTTTAGGTTAGATCCAAAACCTACACACTATACTACTTCTTTATTTTACCGTTCATGAAGTTCCTACACCAACAAAGAAGTACACAATAGTGTGTAATCGGGTGTCAACAGATCTAGAGTACAATGGGGAAGTCATTGTGTAGCACACCCAGTCACAACCAGTCACCGATATAATCTCAGCTATTTATATAGGCCTTACAAACATAAGGTAGTCTATCCAAACATAGAGGTAAATGTCCTTTCAACAGGTTTAGAAGTAAATGAAAGATAGTATAAGATTATCATGTCTGCGGTTTTAAGTTTTTACATTGATAAAACAGACTTGTGTTACCTGTCACTAATATAAAGTTGATACTTTTAACGCATTCACCCCTGAAGACACTTTTGAATTCTTCCAATTCAAAGGTTGGAATAGTTCATTATGAAATTTCAGGGGTGAATGAGTTAATTCTTTTGTGTTACAAATAATAATTTCATTACTAGTACCTTACAACATTGACTTGAAAGCAGAAAGATTGTAGCTTTGATGGCATTGTGGTATAGGTAACAATTGTTTTATAGAGAAAATATTTTAATATTTTAAACATTTTTTTTTATCTTTATAGGTACTCACCTATTACCAATATTGTACTTACCTGTAATAAGTAGGGTACTCACCTGTAATCAGTATGGTACACACCTGTAACCAGTATGGTACTCTCCTATAACCAATATTGTACTTACCTTTAATCAGTAGGGTACTTACCTGTAATCAGTATGGTATATACTCACCTTTAACCAGTATAGTATTCACATGTAATCAGTATGGTACTCACCTGTAACCAGTATGGTATACTCACCTTTAACCAGTATAGTATTCACCTGTAATCAGTATGGTACACACCTGTAACCAGTATGGTACTCACCTATAACCAATATTGTACTTTATCTGTAATCAGTAGGGTACTCACCTGTAATCAGTATGGTATGTACTTACCTTTAACCAGTATGGTATACTCACCTTTAACCAGTATGGTATACTCACCTGTAACCAGTATGGTATACTCACCTTTAACCAGTATGGTATACTCACCTGTAACTAGTATGGTATATACTCACCTGTAACCAGTATGGTATATACTCACCTGTAACCAGTATGGTATACTCACCTTTAACCAGTATGGTATACTCACCTGTAACCGGTATGGTATATACTCCCCTGTAACCAGTATGGTATATACTCACCAGTAACCAGTATGGTATACTCACCTGTACCTAGTATGGTATATACTCACCTGTAACCAGTATGGTATACTCACCTGTAACCAGTTTGGTATATACTCACCTTTAACCAGTATGGTATACTCACCTGTAACCGGTATGGTATATACTCACCTGTAACCAATATGGTATATACTCACCTATAACCAGTATGGTATATACTCACCTGTAACCAGTATGGTATATACTCACCTGTAACCAGTATGGTATACTCACCTGTAACCAGTATGGTATACTCACCTCTAACCAGTTTTGTACTCTGTACCTGTGACTAGTATATGGTACTTGCATGTAACCAGTATTGCACATACATGTAAACAGTATGGTACATTCTAGTAATTAGTATGGTATACACCAGCAATTAGTATAGTACACACCTGTAACTAGAATGTTACACACCTATAACTAGTATGTTATATACCTGTAACTAGTATGTTATACACCTGTAACTAATATGTTACACACATGTAATTAGTATTGTATACACCTGCAATTAGTATGGTACTCACCTGTGACTAGTATGGTACACACCTGTAACCAGTATGGTACTCACCTGTATTTAGTATGTATATACACCTGTAACTTGTATGTTACACACCTATAATTAGTATGGTACATACATGTAACCAGGATGGTACACACCTGTAACTAGTATGGTACACACCTTGTTACTAGTATGGTACAAACCTGTAATTAGTATGGTACACACCTGTAACCAGTATGGTACACACCTTGTTACTAGTATGGTACAAACCTGTAATTAGTATTGTACACACCTGTAACTAGTATGGTACTCACCTGTAACTAGTATGGTACACACCTGTAACTAGTATTGTATACACCTGTAACTAGCATGGTACACACCTCTAACCAGTATGGTAATCACCTGTATTTAGTATGTATACACCTGTAATTAGTATGGTATACACCTGTAATTAGTATGGTACACACCTGTAACTAGTATGGTACTCACCTGTAATTAGTATGGTACACACCTGTAATTAGTTTGGTACATAATAATGCTTCATTTTCCCAAATTCATAAAGGAACAGGGTGTTCTAAAACTTAGGTAACCAGAACACCTATTTGGGTTCATGATGTATTAATGTTTTGGTCTTTCCTCAGTTCCTTGGTTTTTTTTTTGTGTGTTTTGGTTCATGTATTTAATAATGTGGTGGCACTATGATATCCATTTTCCGTTTGACTTTTCCAGATGCTTAGTGGTTCCGTTTGCCAAGTATATGGGCCTGACCTTCAAGAAACGATACGCTTTGGAGAAGAATCCCACTCTGGAGGCTGTGTATACTGCTGACAAGTTCCCAGAACAAGGCAAAATTCAGGTAATTAAGTCATGGTTTAAAACTGTGATGAAAAAATCTAAACTCTTTCCCAACAGTGCTTTGCGTTAATTTCAGGAAACTGCCTACTTATAATCTTTTCAGTAAATTTCTCGCTAAATTGTATACTTGTAAAATGTTATACATGTATTGTGACTATTAATGACCGGGACTAAACTGTTTACACACATATTATGCATGTCTCTTCTTTTTTTTAAAGATAATTTCAGCATTTTTTTGGTTTTAACCTAGAGCAACTGGTAGATACAGAATAAGATATCGAGGTTCTCTGTCCCTGCGCTGCAGGTAAAATATTGGTAAATTTCACAGTTACTGTAGTATTTCGTACATACAGTTATCTCCCCTATATTTCATTTTGGATATAATTTTAGCACTATTGTTCATGTTGGCCATTTAGCTCTGTAGGTAAGAGCAATATAGTATAAAACGATATCTGAGGCCATGAGGGTTTAAATCTTGGTCTAAGATATATATTAATGATCTTCCTGGTATGCTTCAGCGGGAAGCACACTTTTTTGCAGATAATACAAATAAATTAAACATTCAAAGGGGAGCAATAAATGGTTATTAAAACTTTACCCTTTCAAGTGGAAATCCATGCGTGTAGGCCGATCCTGTTGAGAAGGAATATACAGTACATTTCACACAAATAAAAGATGTTTATTTCACTGTAATAAAAGAAAAAGCCGTGTCGGTTACAAATATTTTTACTAAACAATCTTCTTTGTAAAACCATATCACTTGTAATGGTGATCATTTCCAGGTTTTGACAGCTGAAATGGCTAAAAAACATTCTTTCTTGTTATGTCACGTTCCAGTTAGTGTCATGCTATCCTCTGAGAAGTGATATTAAGTGAAATCTTCTGTACTACAGGTGTTACTTTAGTCTGTTTTCAGTGACATTTATTGCTGCCTGTCGGAAATGGATGTCCAGTTAATAAATATGTTTCGTCAGTTGATTAAGGTTACACCTTTGTATGACGACCAGGTGATGACACACTGATAAAATATTTGCCATCTGATTTTGCTCTCATAGAAAAAATGTTGCTTAAGGAAAGAAGCACTTTTTAATTTTCCTGAGAATCAAATCTGACGTTACTGATCTACTCGGAATGTGACTGTTGCACTTTCTTGTGTAATGGTTCTTTGGTGATTACTGAAGGGTTTCTCTGTAGAACTTCACAAGTCAGACTCCATTTAGTAATACCAGGTACTCCCTGAGAAATTTACAAGACATCTTCTATTTCATTGCACTGGTTGAAATATCCACGCCTGAAATCAAGTCATACTGTATTTAGTAATACTCACTGAGACCTTTACAAGTCATACTGTATTTAGTAATACTCACTGAGAACTTTACAAGTCATACTGTATTTAGTAATACTCACTGAGAACTTTACAAGTCATACTGTATTTAGTAATACTCACTGAGAACTTTACAAGTCATACTGTATTTAGTAATACTCACTGAGAACTTTACAAGTCATACTGTATTTAGTAATACTCACTGAGAACTTTACAAGTCATACTGTATTTAGTAATACTCACTGAGAACTTTACAAGTCATACTGTATTTAGTAATACTCACTGAGAACTTTACAAGTCATACTGTATTTAGTAATACTCACTGAGAACTTTACAAGTCATACTGTATTTAGTAATACTCACTGAGAACTTTACAAGTCATACTGTATTTAGTAATACTCACTGAGAACTTTACAAGTCATACTGTATTTAGTAATACTCACTGAGAACTTTACAAGTCATACTGTATTTAGTAATACTCACTGAGAACTTTACAAGTCATACTGTATTTAGTAATACTCACTGAGAACTTTACAAGTCATACTGTATTTAGTAATACTCACTGAGAACTTTACAAGTCATACTGTATTTAGTAATACTCACTGAGAACTTTACAAGTCATACTGTATTTAGTAATACTCACTGAGACCTTTACAAGTCATACTGTATTTAGTAATACTCACAGAGACCTTTACAAGTCATACTGTATTTAGTAATACTCACAGAGAACTTTACAAGTCATACTGTATTTAGTAATACTCACTGAGAACTTTACAAGTCATACTGTATTTAGTAATACTCACTGAGAACTTTACAAGTCATACTGTATTTAGTAATACTCACTGAGAACTTTACAAGTCATACTGTATTTAGTAATACTCACTGAGACCTTTACAAGTCATACTGTATTTAGTAATACTCACAGAGACCTTTACAAGTCATACTGTATTTAGTAATACTCACAGAGACCTTTACAAGTCATACTGTATTTAGTAATACTCACAGAGACCTTTACAAGTCATACTGTATTTAGTAATACTCACAGAGACCTTTACAAGTCATACTGTATTTAGTAATACTCACAGAGACCTTTACAAGTCATACTGTATTTAGTAATACTCACAGAGACCTTTACAAGTCATACTGTATTTAGTAATACTCACAGAGACCTTTACAAGTCATACTGTATTTAGTAATACTCACAGAGACCTTTACAAGTCATACTGTATTTAGTAATACTCACAGAGACCTTTACAAGTCATACTGTATTTAGTAATACTCACAGAGACCTTTACAAGTCATACTGTATTTAGTAATACTCACAGAGACCTTTACAAGTCATACTGTATTTAGTAATACTCACAGAGACCTTTACAAGTCATACTGTATTTAGTAATACTCACTGAGAACTTTACAAGTCATACTGTATTTAGTAATACTCACTGAGAACTTTACAAGTCATACTGTATTTAGTAATACTCACTGAGAACTTTACAAGTCATACTGTATTTAGTAATACTCACTGAGAACTTTACAAGTCATACTGTATTTAGTAATACTCACTGAGAACTTTACAAGTCATACTGTATTTAGTAATACTCACTGAGAACTTTACAAGTCATACTGTATTTAGTAATACTCACTGAGAACTTTACAAGTCATACTGTATTTAGTAATACTCACTGAGAACTTTACAAGTCATACTGTATTTAGTAATACTCACTGAGAACTTTACAAGTCATACTGTATTTAGTAATACTCACTGAGAACTTTACAAGTCATACTGTATTTAGTAATACTCACTGAGAACTTTACAAGTCATACTGTATTTAGTAATACTCACTGAGAACTTTACAAGTCATACTGTATTTAGTAATACTCACTGAGAACTTTACAAGTCATACTGTATTAAGTAATACTCACTGAGAACTGTGCAAGTCATACTGTATTTAGTAATACTCACTGAGAATTTACAAGTCATACTGTATTTAGTAATACCCACTGAGAACTTTACAAGTCATACTGTATTTAGTAATACTCACTGAGAACTTTACAAGTCATACTGTATTAAGTAATACTCACTGAGAACTGTGAAAGTCATACTGTATTTAGTAATACTCACTGAGAATTTATAAGTCATACTGTAGTTAGTAATACTCACTGAGAACTTTACAAGTCATACTGTATTTAGTAATACTCACTGAGAATTTAACAAGTCATGCTAGTACTCTATTTAGTAATACACAGAGAACTTAGCAAGTCCTATTTTACTGCATTCACTGCAAGTCTGAAACCTGTACATCTGAATGCTAGTTGCTGTTTGAAAATGTCAGTATAATCAATATTTTCAGAAATCAACAAAATTACAGGTAAATTTCTCTTAATGATTTCCGTTTAAACAAAACATCTCCGATTCTTCCTTGAATTGCACAACCCAATAGACACATAATTACCGTACCTAATCTAATAAATGCCCTCTGCGTCGTCTTTGTTTCAGCATTGATGAATGAAGTCTTCCACTATCAATGTTAATGAGTATTTTAGTACATGTGTTGAAAATTAGATATCATAAATGAGTTATATTTCTGGCAACAAATAAAAAAGTTAAACGTTAAAAGTTAAAAGTAAAAGTTAAAAGTTAAAAGTTAAAAGTTAAAAGAGTAATTTCTAACTTAGTTTGAGTCTACTGAGTACATTGTAAGTAGTTCTATATCTAAAGTTCAGCAGGATAAAGCTTATACATTTTGTCAAACAACAAAAACCTTTCATGCTGGTTTTTATGTGGCTTATTTAAATGAAAAAGTAAAAGGTAGGGTCCAGGATGAACATAACTAGACATCAAGGCAAGGTAAAACCTGGGACCCTTTAATAAGAAAGTAGACCTTTTCTAATCCATATAAAAATACATCCAATCAATATGTAATTTTGAGGCTGTTAACATGTGAAAACAATTACATTGCTTCATTGTGTTTTATTCTATGTATCTTTTTCTTCAATGAATTAAAAGAAATAACTTGATAATGCTGGAAAAGTCATTAAATTAGACCGGAAACCCGTAATTCACAAATCTGTGCGATTGATTTGTGACAAAGATTAAAAAAACTTTTCTCAAATCTACAAGGATTGTAAAAATCTACATAGCCTGAATCCTGAGGCAATCAGATTATCAGCTTGAGCTTGTGAAATTTAGGCTAGTGACTGTTTTAACTTAATAAGTTATAACTGACAAATAGGCTTCTCAATTCTATCATCATGAGGGTATACATAACCAATAAATATATAAACCTGTAAACTCCTGGTAATTTTCACTACAATATATATCAGAAAACATGGAGTCATTCGTGCCGTATGTATCGATGATGCCAGACAGTCTGTTGCAGTGCACATGTGTGTTAATTAAATGTGGTATTGGGCACCATTCACGACATCAATCAGCATTGAAAGTTTATTTACTAACTACCAAAGTGGCCCTCTTTAATTTGTTGCTACCAGTAATCATTCTTTTTAATTTGACATTATAAGCATGTGGGGTACAAAAATAAAGTTTATCTATCCAAAATCTGTGAGTCTGTCAGGTTTGTTTTTGATGCTTTCTAATACTGGCACCGGTATCCAGACTGATTTTCAGGAGTAAAAAGCCAATAACTTCAAACGCTTCAGTTATTCAAAAATAGTATAAACGTAAATCATATTCTTTTAAAGGAAACATATTCATTTGTGAATGTGATATATATTTAGATCATGTGATCATGTTGTGATCTTAGTCCGATTGATTGGATTATTAGTGTCTACTAGCCGCGGTTAGTATTCCGAAAAAGGTGTACCCCCCTGATGACTTTTTTTTTAATTTGAAGGCTCCTGCACAATAACTTTTGTAAAATATGAATTGATTCTGATGAAACTTAATCAATATTTATACTATACAATGACAAAGGTTAATCTTAAAGGGTAAACGAAACCTGAACATAATATATTAACATACTGCTATTTGGTTGATAGTTTCTGCACAATAACTTGGATATACACTTGTATGACAGGATTCTGATGACACTTACAATGATAAATATTTTCAATTTGTCTAATAGTGAGATATGCCAGTATTTAATGAGCAGTAGCCAAAGATACCCTTTGTTTTAATGGTGTCAGATGAACCGATTATTGGCAAAAAGAGGGCATGTTCAATTTTTATTTTCATGGTTTGAAATATATACAAAGGGAGACAATTCTTATGAAAATCAATCTGTTAAAGGCCATAAATTAAAAGGACACATGAAATACATATATATTCCTTTAGCTTTAGTTGGGTAATACAGTACAGTAGACGTTTCTTCTTGTTATGTTTCCATATTTTCATACATCTAGATACAATAATGCATCTGAAGGATTTTAAGTATGTCAGATTGGCATGGGCATATTGTTCCATCCTGCAGTACTCTTTGTTTTTTCTTAGTTTGGTGCTACGTTAACTTACTGCACAATCACTGAATAAATAAAAACAAGCACTAAATACAGTTTTCTGGGAGACACTTTATCATGGTGAACTTTTCTGGTAGAATTTAATATGTTTTCGGGTAATATGAGATCTCCTACATGTGTGCAGGTTTTGTATGTCATAAGGTTACCTATAAATATATTTCACCTATGTACAGGTTGTGTGTCTCAATATTTGACCAATAGATACCAAAGATATTGACTTTTATAAAGCTGCCTAATATAAATGACCTTGACCTTCTGTCAAGGTCATAAGGGTCAAAGTTTTTTTTTTTTAAATCAAGCAACATTGTCTAGAACCATAAGGTCTAAAGCCATGATATTGGGTGTGATAATATAATTGTACAGTCATGTAGACTAGCAGTGTGAATATGTTTCTAAATGTTTTGTTACGGACAAATGTCAGCTTTGAGCACTGGCAGAGGTCAAAGGATAACATTGGCTTTCACAAGTCGAAAGTTTTTAGAGTGTTTCTTTTTAACTTTAACAATTGCTAGGATTCTGTTATTTGCTGATATGTTCTTGAGATGTTAGACCATTAAAAGTTTCTTGAAATAAATTACCTAGATCTAATTTTGAAGGTCACAGGGGCCAAAATTTTATTGAAAACTTCAAACCTTGCTATCTTAAGAAGCCATGCATGGTACTTAATCTATATTATATAGACCTGTTGTGCAGATCTGTTGTCTAATTAAATTTGTTTAAATTAGGTCACTTATTTTTTAATACAGTCTTTCTATAATGGGTCAAAAAGTTGAAGATTCAGCTTGTAATTACTTTCCATTTTTTGAGCTCTAATATTTTGCCAAAAGGTATCTTGGATTGATTAAGTGCTATATAAGTTTCCTTATATGAATGACCTACTGTTAAAGCCACAGGGGTTAAACGCATTAAATTCAAAATTAAAATGACTTTTTTTGAAGAATCATAAAGTCAAGAGCCATGATAAATGAATATGATAATGATTTAGACCAGTGAGTGAAACATTGTATTAGGCCTTGGGCCGTAACTTGGAAACAATCGAGATAACCATATATAAAAAAAATCAAATGAAAAAGTACAAGAAGATAGATCCTCAAGGCCTTTCGCTGCTTTACAAAGAATATGTCTTTATTTTTTATCGTTTTGATATATTTTCCCTTCTATATATTTTATAAAGGATAGCTGGTCCTAAAGAAAATGCTGTGTTACCAGGGTTAGCCCTGGGATCAGGCTTCACCCCCGTAATTGCCTTTGGGAGCTAATTATATTCCAAGGTGATATATTACATGGAAACCATCGAGATCCCAACCTTATATAACCATATACATGTATGCATTCACATCTTAACCAGATTGGCTATGATATTAACTGTGTTCTATTATATTGTAAACAGGAATTATCCAAGAAGACAAGTCTAACAGAGAGACAGATACAGAGATGGTTCCGACACAGACGCAGTCGAGACATACCAGGCAGGATGAAAAAGTTCAGGGAATGCAGGTACGCGAATTTCGCTGTAGTATCACTATGTGGCACTAGCTACTGTCACCATTACTCCAAATGGCACTGTTATAGAATGTAAATGTCATGGCCCACAGGTTGACATGATCGTCATTATGACATTATAACGGTAATGTTAGATACCATGGAAGACCGCTGTTCTGATTTAAATATTTACATTTGCTCTGCATCCTTCCATTGTAATGCATTGAGACGGCAAATGATGTTATGAGACTATAACAACATTTGCTATGTAACGTCACCAATCTCTATTGTGATGTCATCGATTTCATAGTTGTCAACACTTGATTTGCTGTTAAAAAACTGTTCAAAATTTATCTGAATAAAGCGAAGCTACTCTATCAAAATGTAAATATAAATAGTGAATGATTTAGCAAATATTGCTTTGGTCCTATAACACACATTTCTATTGCTGCCAAACTTACATAAAGCAGCCCTGCTGGGCTTTATTAAGTTTGTCATCAATAACAATGAGTGTTATAGGACCATAACAACATTTGCTAAAACATTTATTGCTTAATTAATTGAACATGCATACACGAGCTGCGCAAATTAATTTGAACTACATGCTGCATTTTAATAAGCATATTTAATGTGTTGATATGGCATTTAAGGTCTGTATGATTTATTTTAATAATGACTGACACAGCTTTGCAGACATGCAATAAACATCAGGTTATTTGTCCCCAATCCTCTCCTAGCCTGGGTATTTTCTTAAAAACAGTGTATTTTCACATTTGGTCTGTGTACAATGTATCTGCCAATTTTTGATAGGGATCTTGTTTTCAAAGAATTAACATTTAAGCCGTTTAAAATAGAGATACTTAAAATTTAATCTTGAAACATACAGAATATTTTGCTCAAGATAGGACACAATAATGGTGTATAGTTTGATAGGACACAATAATAGTGTATAGTTTGATAGGAGAACTTTACAAGTCATACTGTATTTAGTAATACAGTATGACTTGCACAGTTCTCAGTGAGTATTAAAGAATACTCACTGAGAACTGTGCAAGTCATACTGTATTACTAAATACAGTATGACTTGTAAAGTATCAAACTATACACTATTATTGTGTCCTCTCAAACTATACACTATTATTGTGCCTATCAAACTATACACTATTATTATGTCCTATCAAACTATACACTATGATTGTGTCATATCAAACTATACACCATTAATGTGTCCTATCAAACTATACACTATTCTTGTGTCCTATCAAACTATACACCATTAGTGTGTCCTATCTTGAGAAAAATATTCTGTATGTTTCAAGATTAAATTTTAAGTATCACATACAGGCTGATATCAGCCTGTATGTGATACTTAAAATTTAATCTTGAAACATACAGAATATTTTGCTCAAGATAGGACACAATAATGGTGTATACTTTGATAGGACACAATAAGGGTGTATAGTTTGATAGGACACAATACTAGTGTATAGTTTGATAGGACACAATCATAGTTTATAGTTTGATAGGACACAATAATGGTGTATAGTTTGTGAAAACATGAGTGTATTAAAAAAAAACAATTATTGTAAATGTAGCTAACTTGAATAAGACAAAGCTTTCTATATTTTACTTTCAGCTGGCATTTCCTGTTCTACTCATTCAGCTTCTTTGGTGGCCTGTATGTCCTGTGGGATGTAAGTTTATATTTATAGATATACAATAAGTATCAGTCTGTATGTATATTTCCTGTGGGATGTTAGTATATAGTTATATACAGTAGATATCAGTCTGTATGTCCTGTGGGATGTTAGTATATAGTTATATACAGTAGATATCAGTCTGTATGTCCTGTGGGATGTTAGTATATAGTTATATACAGTAGATATCAGCCTGTATGTCCTGTGGGATGTTAGTATATAGTTATATACAGTAGATATCAGCCTGTATGTCCTGTGGGATGTTAGTATATAGTTATATACAGTAGATATCAGCCTGTATGTCCTGTGGGATGTTAGTATATAGTTATATACAGTAGATATCAGCCTGTATGTCCTGTGGGATGTTAGTATATAGTTATATACAGTAGATATCAGCCTGTATGTCCTGTGGGATGTTAGTATATAGTTATATACAGTAGATATCAGCCTGTATGTCCTGTGGGATGTTAGTATATAGTTATATACAGTAGATATCAGCCTGTATGTCCTGTGGGATGTTAGTATATAGTTATATACAGTAGATATCAGCCTGTATGTCCTGTGGGATGTTAGTATATAGTTATATACAGTAGATATCAGCCTGTATGTCCTGTGGGATGTTAGTATATAGTTATATACAGTAGATATCAGCCTGTATGTCCTGTGGGATGTTAGTATATAGTTATATACAGTAGATATCAGCCTGTATGTCCTGTGGGATGTTAGTATATAGTTATATACAGTAGATATCAGCCTGTATGTCCTGTGGGATGTTAGTATATAGTTATATACAGTAGATATCAGCCTGTATGTCCTGTGGGATGTTAGTATATAGTTATATACAGTAGATATCAGCCTGTATGTCCTGTGGGATGTTAGTATATAGTTATATACAGTAGATATCAGCCTGTATGTCCTGTGGGATGTTAGTATATAGTTATATACAGTAGATATCAGCCTGTATGTCCTGTGGGATGTTAGTATATAGTTATATACAGTAGATATCAGCCTGTATGTCCTGTGGGATGTTAGTATATAGTTATATACAGTAGATATCAGCCTGTATGTCCTGTGGGATGTTAGTATATAGTTATATACAGTAGATATCAGCCTGTATGTCCTGTGGGATGTTAGTATATAGTTATATACAGTAGATATCAGCCTGTATGTCCTGTGGGATGTTAGTATATAGTTATATACAGTAGATATCAGCCTGTATGTCCTGTGGGATGTTAGTATATAGTTATATACAGTAGATATCAGCCTGTATGTCCTGTGGGATGTTAGTATATAGTTATATACAGTAGATATCAGCCTGTATGTCCTGTGGGATGTTAGTATATAGTTATATACAGTAGATATCAGCCTGTATGTCCTGTGGGATGTTAGTATATAGTTATATACAGTAGATATCAGCCTGTATGTCCTGTGGGATGTTAGTATATAGTTATATACAGTAGATATCAGCCTGTATGTCCTGTGGGATGTTAGTATATAGTTATATACAGTAGATATCAGCCTGTATGTCCTGTGGGATGTTAGTATATAGTTATATACAGTAGATATCAGCCTGTATGTCCTGTGGGATGTTAGTATATAGTTATATACAGTAGATATCAGCCTGTATGTCCTGTGGGATGTTAGTATATAGTTATATACAGTAGATATCAGCCTGTATGTCCTGTGGGATGTTAGTATATAGTTATATACAGTAGATATCAGCCTGTATGTCCTGTGGGATGTTAGTATATAGTTATATACAGTAGATATCAGCCTGTATGTCCTGTGGGATGTTAGTATATAGTTATATACAGTAGATATCAGCCTGTATGTCCTGTGGGATGTTAGTATATAGTTATATACAGTAGATATCAGCCTGTATGTCCTGTGGGATGTAAGTATAGTTATATACAGTAGATATCAGCCTGTATGTCCTGTGGGATGTAAGTATAGTTATATACAGTAGATATAGATATACGGGCAAAGAAGTAATAACGACAGTGCAGACAAAGAAATGTGTCCAATTTTCAGGGCGATCTGCCCCTGTATCAAGACACAAAACGAAACAGTAAAATTGATTGTTGATGTCATTTATTTCAGAAACCATACTTCTGGGATTCTAAGTATTGCTGGGTATCCGGTGTGCGCCAGGTAACTATTGTAACACATTACGTGTCAACTATTGAAACTTAAACGGAGGGGAGAATGATATAATCTTTCAGTCCTTAGAGGATCAGATGATCAGTTAGCATCCTGAGGGAAAACAATCTTACCCGAAGGGTTTAGATAATAAAATTGTTTACCCCTAAGGGGGAAGAATCTTAAGTTGTTAGTCATGAAGCTAAGTGCCAAGTGTTTATCAACTTCAGAATCTTTCCCTGATGGTTTTAATCCCCATCCCAACCTTAAAGTGGATGGGAAATTCTTTAGTTGTCAAACATGATGCTTGCCATGTTTTTGACAATGACAATCTTTTGCCGATTGTTTAAATCCCCATCTCACCCCTGAAGAGGTGACTGATTATTACTGTTGACTCTGTTATATAATGCAATGTTGATGTTACAGCTGATCATACATTGCTGACAAAATGTTTATGCATTTTTTTAAGTGACTTTGTTGCATTAATGACGTGATGTCATATACAGTTGTTGTGCCTTTGAAATCCTTTCATCTCAACCCGAGGGTGAGACAAGGATGTATTGCACTGATAAGTGTTGATACAACTTTTTCCTTTCAAAGGTGATTGTCTCCCATTTCAAATGTAAAAGAGCAGCCTCTTGGGGTGGTTGCATGGTCTCATTCAGAAAAAAACATATACTAAATTCTTTTAAACAACTTCTGTTCAATAACCAATAGACCCAGGGTGGTGATATTTTGCCAGAAGTATACTGGGAGGAAGGGCTACCAAGTTTGTTCAAATGATTGACCATATTCAAGGTCACAGGGGTCAAATATGATAAAAACATTAAATGACTTTTTCTGAAAAACCAAAAGAACCAGGGTGATGATATTTGGCCAGAAGCATGCTTGGATGAAGGGCTTTCAAGCTTTATCAAATGAATGACCTTGACTTGTATTCAATGTAACAGTTTTCATATTTCAAAAAAATAATAATGACTTCTTCTGAATAACCAAATTGCCAGGGATGATGATATTTGGCTGGTAGCATGATGGGATGAAAGGGCTACCACATTAGTTTAAATGAATGACCTTCACCCTTATTCAGGGTTACAGGGGTCAATTATTTTTCAAAACTTTTAAGAAGCTTCTTCTGCCTAACCAAAAGACCTAGGGTGATGATATTTGGCCTGTAGCATGCAGAGATGAATGGCTACCAAGTTTGTTCGAATAAATGACCTTCACTTATATCTAAGGTAAGAGGGGTCAAATGTCTTCAAAAGCCATGACCTCTTATGATTAACCAAAAAGGCCAGGGTGAGGATAAGTGGCCCTTATATGGTGGGATAAAGAGTTGCTAAGTTTGTTCATATGAATTGTTTAATCTGCTATTGTCAGAACCCCCCAAAAAGACTTCAGGTCAATTTTCAACCTTAGCTTTCATGCACCATATCACAAGCTACTTACACATCATTTTAAGAGGAACAAATATGGAGATGAAATCATGGAAATGTTCCCAAGAAACAGCCTTTTATAGTACATATCCTTTAACCCTTTCACCACTGTAGAGCATAATGGACTCATCCGGATGAATGTATGGTAGAGTCTACTCAAGTTATCTAGGGGTGAAAGAGTTAAGAATGTTAACATGTGTTTATAATGAGATCCATTATAGGGGAGCACCATTGAAGTCGGGTATTACTGTACTCTCTAACTCTGTTTATTTGAACTTTACAGCATGTGCCCAATGATATATACTGGTACTATACAATAGAGTTGGCCTTCTACTGGAACCTGGTGTTTACCCTGGTCACAGATCACAAGAGAAAAGACTTCAAAGAGCTCGTCGTCCATCACATTGTCACCATGATGCTCATCTACTTTTCCTTTGCCTCAAACCAGATCCGCATCGGCACCCTCGTCCTACTCGTCCATGATTCCGTCGACTTCTGGTTGGCTGTATGTACACAAACCTTTGAGGGTTTTTTAACAAAGAAAGCTCTGTTCACTTCAAAATTTTGTTTGCTAATTTGTATTATTGTATTTTGATACTTTAAATGTGAAAATGTTTGCATTGTGACTCTTAAAACTAAAACTTTTTTGTTGATAACGATTCTACACGGGTATAGATATGTATTCTATATACAGTTGTGTGACCGCACAACGCACCAAAAATACTGTGCATACATCGTTTGCACACCGTCCGCACATCGTCCACACATGGTGCGCACATCTGGGCGATTTGACAATCGTTCGTCCCGTTGTGCGCTTCTCTCCGCACAACTGTGCGATTCGGTACAATTTGTTGATCAATATTACGGAATGAAAAAAATAAGGAAGGCTCGTACTAGTATACAATAATTTACACTGTATTTATTATTGTAATTTCTCATCACAATAATTAACATTATCTACAATTTTACAATGCATGTAACACAGTATTACCGTGACCGTTAGACTGTCAAGAATAGATTTGGCTCCTAGCTAGGTAACAGAAGAGATAAATAACAATTTAATGAGTGACCGGAGTTTTACCTGGCCTGTGCCTCACGGGTAAAGCTGATATGTGATACCGTATACTGTTATGAAAACACAACTGGACGTTTAGTATTTGTTATTTGCATTCGTTTTAATCTAAAGCTCCCCTTCGTTAGTGCCCCGGGCGGGGGAAAACTACTGTCCAGGTACAAAGTGGCTATGTTTACCTGTGTTGCCGAGGCTGTTTTGTAAGGTCGTTTAAAAAACACCGTAAACGCGCCATTTCTAAGGTATAGACAGAAAGGAAAGCTTGTAGATGAAGCTAGAATAGGGAAGGAAACATACTAAACAAATCAAGTTTATATGTCTAAACAGCAAACCGTATATATTGTTAAGCCATTCCTCAATTTACACCAACCACAGTTGTTATCGCACAACGTTCGTCGATCGTCCACACAAATGTGTGCAAGCAATGATCGTCCAATTTTTTATCGTTCGCACTTCGTGCACACATCGTTCACACACCGTGCACACATCGTGTAACGTTGTGCGATCCCACAATTGTATCTATACTGGTACAGCTGTGCTCTATAACAGTTTGTAAATAAGTATTTGCTTATTTTCATGCTAATTTGTTCAATGCCGAAAAATGTGAACATTTCCATATCACAAAAATTTCCACTTTTACAGATGATTTTCCATGAAAATATGAATGTCTTCAAAGTGATTGTAACTCTGATAACAACATTAAATCTTAGTTATCAGACTATTTCTCTAACATCAAGAGAGTACACCTGTGTTATACTATTTATATCATATTTATATCAGGTACGTAATAAACATTTTTCCTGCATTCTCGTTGCAATTGGTTGAATCAGAATCATGCGGAGGTCGTTGATTTGTGATTTTGACTTGGTCAATATTCACTTTATGATGTCATTTCAGTTGAAATGTTGCTCTGCCGGAAGTGGTACTTTCCTCCGTCTAATATATATTAAAAAAGACTTTTATTTTGGTGAAAATGCGGTCATATGAATATGAGAAAGTAATATTAACCCTTTCACCCCTATATGACTTTAGTACACTCTACCATGTATTGATCTGGATGAGTCCATTAGAGTCTACAGTGGTGAAAGAGTTAACCACCACTTTGTCTCGGTCAATATCACTTTCTTGGGTCTATATAAACACATATTCACCTCAACTGAAATCAATAATTGGTAAATAGCATACTTACTTGATTACGTTTATGACCTGTTGACATCATAGACGTATCTTAGACTTAGACTTATCATTACTTTGATGTCACAATTGAGGCAATAAATATAGAGCAAAATTGGTGTAGTATTAGACTTTAATATTGACCTGAAAATCATGTAATCAAAAGGTTCTAGAATGTGTTTGCAATTCATATGAGATTTTTATATATAAAGCTTCTTTTTTTTTCTTTTTTTACTTGCCAGAGGCTAGCTTAGTTGAATTTGTTTTTTTCGACTCATTTTATGAATCTTTTATGACATGGAAGCTCATGTGATATCACAGCAAGTAGCAGGAGAGTGCATACATCACCATGTCTCATCATTAGTTAATTACAATACGATTATCTATACTCATTACAGAAATATTGATGTCACTTCCTTTTTCAGGGGGCTAAGATGGCCAACTATGTGAAGAAAGCCACACTTACTGACACCCTGTTTGGAGTTTTCTTCGTGGTGTGGTTGTTCACCAGGTTGTACGTCTACCCCTTCAGGTAGGTTCTCCCAACATTTACTCTAAAAAGGGTTTGACATGAGTTGATTTGCTGCCTTGTCTGAGATTCTACTCTGAGTGATAGATTTTAGAAATGTCCACGAAAGAATCTTTAACGGTTACAACTGTAGCTCTTTGACAATGAATTTAAATGGTAAACTTTTTTATCGTCATTACAGGGTAGTGTGGTCTGCAACATTCCAGTCCCTGGATCATCTCCCTATCTGGCCTGCATACTGGATTCTCAATGGTCTGCTCTGGGTCTTACAGATTCTTCACGTCATCTGGACCTACATGATCGTACGCATTATGGCCACCAAGTTCACTGGTGACAAGAAGGTGGGTCTTCCATAAATATCCTGTCCAGCCATGTGTCAGTGTAGGGCTAATTTTCCTGTACTCATCGTCAATCAAGATAATGAAACTTAGTTAAGGACCCCCATACCACTGCTGGAAAGAAATTATAACTTGTGGAACTTTTATGAAAAAATAATGCAGATGATGTAAACAAAATATAATCAACTACAGCAGTGCTATGAGTGTGAAAATTCAGCAAGGCTATAGACTGAGATTTAAAACGTGCACTTCAGATTGTTATACTATCACTCTTACACACTGAGCTATACCTGGCCAGTGGAAGTGTTCTGTCCTGACTGGGGTACAGTTATATCTAAAAGGAAATTAAGGGGAGGTAACTGTACGAACAAACAATCACAGGGCAGCGGGACAGGGATCCTTAAGTTATACAATTTCTACCACAATTGTTATTTTGTCAGTTTTAATGTGTGAATGACTGGTATCGTTACCACCTCTATGTTCCCTTTTTTTCTGTAATAGAAGCTTTATCTGACAGGGTTAAACGTTAGACACTAACTTCCTATTTGCTTAATAGTCGTCATACCTAGTTGAATAGATCATATGCTAGTCCTAAGTCCAAAGTCCAAAGTTTAAGGAAACATCTCAAGCAGGAAAAATAAGAAGTAATTAACTGCAGACAATATAAAAAAACTACTGCCATAAAGACATGGGGCAGTTTTAGAAAAACAAATTAACAATCATTATGCAATAAAATTATGTTTTAAACTGTTTTCTGAAAGGAACATTATTATTTTGTAATCTGTCTCTCATATGATTTTCTGATAACATATCTTCTTTAATTTATAAATCCAAAGGACTAGTTAGGTTTAGTTGATATTGAGTACACAAGGTAGTCACGGACAAGAGGACTAGTTAGGTTTAGTTGATAGTGAGTACACCAGGTAGTCAGTGACAAGAGGACTAGTTAGGTTTAGTTGATAGTGAGTACACAAGGTAGTCACGGGCAAGAGGACTAGTTAGGATTAGTTGATAGTGAGTACCCCAGGTAGGCACAGACAAGAGGACTAGGTAGGTTTAGTTGATAGTTAGTACACCAGGTAGTCACGGGCGAGAGGACTAGTTAGGTTCAGTTGATATTGAGTACACCAGGGAGTCACGGACTAGTGGACTAGTGTAAGCATCAAACCCTGTCTTAGTCCGGATTCGTTGTTTTCCAGTACAAACTAGTTAGGTTTAGTTGCTATTGAGTACACCAGGTAGTCGCGGACAAGAGGACTTGTTAGGTTTAGTTGATAGGGAGTACACCAGGTAGTCCCAGACAAGAGGACTAGTTATGTTTAGTTGATATTGAGTACTCCAAGTAGTCACAGACAAGAGGATTAGTTAGGTTTAGTTGATCGTGAGTACACCAGGTAGTCACGGATAGGAGGACTAGTTAGGTCTAGTTGATAGTGAGTACGCCAGGTAGTCAGTGACAAGAGGACTAGTTAGGATTAGTTGATAGTGAGTACCCCAGGTAGGCACAGACAAGAGGACTAGTTAGGATTAGTTGATAGTGAGTACACAAGGTAGTCACGGGCAAGAGGACTAGTTAGGATTAGTTGATATTGAGTACACCAGGGAGTCACGGACTAGTGGACTAGTGCAAGCATCAAACCCTGTCTTAGTCCGGATTCGTTGTTTTCCAGTACAAAATGTTCCAAAGGACTAGTTAGGTTTAGATGATATTGAGTACACAAGGTAGTCATGGACAAGAGGACTAGTTAGGGTTAGTTGATAGTGAGTACACAAGGTAGTCATGGACAAGAGGACTAGTTAGGGTTAGTTGATAGTGAGTACCCCAGGTAGGCACAGACAAGAGGACTAGTTATGTTTAGTTGATATTGAGAACACCAGGTAGTCACGGACAGGGGGACTAGTTAGGTTTAGGTGATATTGAGTACACCAGGGAGTCACGGACTAGTGGACTAGTCTAAGCATCAAACCCTGTCCGAGTCCGGATTCGTTGTTTTCCAGTACAAAATGTTTTGTGAGTACACTAGGTAGTCACGGACAAGAGTACTAGTTAGTTTTAGTTGATAGTGAGTCCACCAGGTAGTCACGGATAGGAGGACTAGTTAGGTCTAGTTGATAGTGAGTACACAAGGTAGTCATGGACAAGAGGACTAGTTAGGATTAGTTGATAGTGAGTACGCCAGGTAGTCACGGACAAGATGACTAGTTAGGTTTAGTCGATAGTGAGTACACCAGGGAGTCACGGACTAGTGGACTAGTGCAAGCATCAAACCCTGTCTTAGTCCGGATTCGTTGTTTTCCAGTACAAAATGTTTTGTGAGTACACTAGGTAGTCACGGACAAGAGGCCTAGTTAGGTTTAGTTGATAGTGAGTCCACCAGGTAGTCACGGACTAGAGGACTAGTTAGGTTCAGTTGATATTGAGTACACCAGGGAGTCACGGACTAGTGGACTAGTCTAAGCATCAAACCCTGTCTTAGTCCGGATTCGTTGTTTTCCAGTACAAACTAGTTAGGTTTAGTTGATATTGAGTACACCAGGTAGTCACGGACTAGTGGACTAGTGTAAGCATCAAACCCTGTCTGAGTCCGGATTCGTTGTTTTCCAGTACAAAATGTTTTGAATTAGTGTAAGTATTTATCTACACATAATACTATTAGGAGGATAACTTCCATATAATGTAAATTCTAAGAGCAACAGACTTGTTGTAGGGACACATCTGGGGATCTGGGGAGTGTCAACAGTAAGACGGAATAGCAGTAGTACATTGGTCTATATATACATGTTTTAACTAATTTATAAACTAAAAATGTTGGTAGTTCATCACACTTAATGTCAATAGTAGTGCAAATACGTTCATGAAAATTTAATCATTTATGCTCATGTTCTTACTTCAGCTCAAAGACCTCAGCAGTGACACAGAGGTTTCCACAGGGGGAGAGGAGGAGGAGGAGGATATAATCCAAGGAAAAACGTCTGTTTCCAATGGATGCCCCCCAGCCTTGAGCAGAAGTCCAAAAGCTGCAGATAGCAGGAAAAAACGAAGGGCATAGGGCAGGAAGGCTGGATTTGGGCAAGCTACTTTTTTCACCATCAAACAAATGTCATTTGCAGGCAGCTGCAAGGAGTGCAAGGCATAAAGCATTAAGGCAGTTTGGACAGAAGGAAGCAGTTCTCACCAACAGCAAATATGATATTGTCACCTGGTCATCATATTGTTTAGATCCTATCTTGACCTTTGAATGCTGTGACCTTTTGTGAGGACAACTAGATCTTAAATGGTTTCTGTATTAAGATATCGGTGTAACTTCACAATATACACAACTATGAAAAAGTAAATCTGTATTTATTTTTAAACCACTTTGAGTTTAACAACACATTGATGTATACGTAGTGAAATGAACAAGTTCAGGCTGTCCCTTTACTGATTTAAATGGTATTGGTGTGGCTTCAGATTTTTTCTGTATGTGTTAAAATACATAATAGTGTTTTGCTAACTTTTGATCAAATGAAGCAATACATTCCTTCAATTTATACATACTGTAAGAAAGGAAAATATAATTTTCTGTTGTTGTGTGAGTAACACACAACTTTGTCAGCGGGAATTTATCTTTAGCTGTATCGGTAACCAACGACAGACAACAAATAAAGTTCTGGAAAAAACGATTCATTAGGACTTCTACAAAGGATCTGATTGTAAAAAAAAATACATTAATAAATAAACATTCAAATTTAACATTGTTCGGGTCGGGGAAGGTTTATATTATAATACAATATCCATTTAGTAAAACAAAAGTATCCTATTATAAATAGATTTTGTTTTGTCATGTTTATGGTTGTCATTCAACTAATAGTTCACATGGTAACGATGAGTGGCTAATTTAGGCTTGTCATTAAGCTTAGAACTCCTTGGCATTTCATACTGATTTTTTATGATGGTACGGAAATTTACAAATATATCTCTTTCCTTTGTAGGATTGAAAGTGTGAAGCTCATTTACTTTCATTTCCATAGTGACATAAGATTCTCTCCTTATTTTTCTAAGATTATTTTTGTATTTTGAAATGCTGGTAAAATGCTGCTGTTTTTTTTACTGGCACATGGCATGCAGATTTGCCTTTCCCGATACATTGAGGACAATGTAATTTCCATCCAAAATAAGGCCTTGCTGTTATATATTTGAATCACCTTAAGGACAAATTCATGTGCAAAATATGTACTCGTAAGTAGGACATTATACTCATTACTGCAGGTACATGCATTGATAACAATTGTGTGATGTCACATAGAGTACATCATCCACACAGTGCAAGTAAGTATTCGTCACGTTATGGATCTGTGTCCAGTGTATTGTACACAATGATCCAGCCTCTGGTTTTGAAAGATTAGTTAACTTAAACTAGTGAATACAGATTAGTGGAAAATTAAAATTGTTCTTAATAGGCAAGAGCTTTCAAAGCAAAAGGAGTGCTTTAAATACATCTTATCTGTCTCCATGAATCTATCGTGATGGACATTATTATCAGATGTTCTTTCTTGTATTCATATCTAAAGTTTTCCCAAACCATAAGTTGATTCTAACCAATCTTTGAGCAACCGGAGCATGTTTGTTTAAAAAGAACGCTGGAAATAGCCATTTATAAATTAAGAATACAAATATTAAAAAGTGAAAATGTGACAAAATAATTTATAATAAAATGAGAATGATATAGGTGTAAGAAGAAATTGTAATATGTTTATGACGCCTTTGTATATTTACCACACGGATAAGTGCTATCACATGAACACTTACAAGGTTGTGTTAGTCCACCATGCACCTAGATGTGCACAAGATATAATTCCCAGATTTTTAATCTTTCACTGTTGGTTTGCATACCAAACATTGTGTAGTGGTGGTGCGTGATCCCACAGCTGTACCTTAACCCCCATGTTTAACGAGAATGTGCAAATTAAATGTGTCCTGATGTTGAAATGGAGCACAGTGGAATTGGACCAAAACACACTGCTTTAGATGGGGTATTATTTTTTCGTGTGTGTTAAAAGGGTTACCCGGTAAATTTTGTTAGCTTTAACATTCAACATTTTCCAACCATGAATAGCATTTAATTGGTCAGGAATTTTGTCTCAAAATTAATATATTCTTTTTATATTTTGAAATACATATCTGTAATGAATTTAGAAAATTAACACAAATTTGAAAAAACCCCGACATGAAACTATTGAAAAATGTAATGCTAGTTTTAAGTGGTTTATTTTGGATACTGGTCCTATTGGGGGGAACGGAGGAGAAATAGTTACATGTTGTCGGTAAATATTGGGCAATGGATATTTTGCAAGCCTTGGTTGTCTTACTGGTTTCAGTATCGCCTTTTTTAACATATCAAAATAAATTATATAGCATTTAAAGATTGAGTGTAATGATTGTAAACATTTTTTCAAGAATTATATTAATATTTTTGTAGTGATATGTTTGATTAGCAGCAAACATATTTTCATGTATAGAATTTAGTTTAATATTTCATTCATATTTACAAATGCAAATCAGGTTCTGTTTTATGTATGTTTGTATCCTTAAAGTGTAACCACCCTTCTGATACAGAAGTGTGTATATCCAGAGTATATCAAGGTCAAAATTTCATGAAAAAAATTACTTTACAATGTTGTTTTTTATCGTTGTTTATTTTTTTGTTTGATGCTTTTTATGAGAATTTCACAAAATTATCAACATTTTACACCCGATTTTTCAGAATTATCTATATTTATTAAATGTGATGACTATTTGTTTTGTTTTGATAGAGTAAAATTTCTGGGTGTCTACAACTAAATATGAAGTTATAGAAACAGTCAAAATAATGTTCCATATCGGGAGAAAAATACAGTGCATTAAACAATGAACGTCAAAATAATAATAAACAAAAGATGACAATAGATTTATTGTGCTTTTGATGTTTAAAAAGGAAATTTGGATAAAAAGTCCTTTTGTTAAGTCACTTCTTCTCTTTTTTTAATCATTTAAAATTATGCTTGCACACATGTATATATAATGATCAATGGTTGTTAACTGTTTCATTCAGTGTAAAACATACCAAGGTAAATTGTCCGAAAGTTGAACCGACCAACCATGCCGGTACATGTATTATGTTAATTCAAAGTGTTGTGTGTGCTGTTTCCTACTTCATCAAGAGTGTAGGACTACATCACAGTAACGTAACAGCTAGCAATATGTTTAGGACTACATCACAGTAACGTAACAGCTAGCCATATATTAGGACTACATCACAGTAACGTAACAGCTAGCCATATGTTAGGACTACATCACAGTCACGTAACAGCTAGCCATATGTTAGGACTACATCACAGTAACGTAACAGCTAGCCATAT